AATGCACGGTTCGAGTTTAAATGCGCGGGAAAATAACCACAACAGCCAAAAGAGTTAAAATATGTTGAACTACATTGAGCGTAGAAGTAATTTCCCTGACGTCATTTAGTTTATTGACCTCATATATGACGTCATATCACGTGTAAATATTCGTTTTGAAAAATCATGCTAAAACCATTGTTTGTGAAAGCAGTTACATGGTATCAAATATATCTACTTTGATGGTCAATGATGGATGTATTTGTTGATTAATGGTTAGTAGATGCTGACGTTGTATAAAAATGCAGTTTTACAAAAAAGTTCTAGTTAAGCTCAATAAGAAGAACATTGAAATTGTAATAGGAGGATGGTTGACGAGGTGTAGATAACATAATCTTGGCAAATGATCTCGGACATTAAATATAATGGTCATTTGTCTTTCAGCGCTGGGTCAGAAATCATGCGGGATAAATAGTCGGTCACATGCAGTGAAATCGGTAATTACTAGTTAGTTATTTCCAAAAAAAAAAAACAACATGGAAAGGTGGACTGATGACCGAGATATGACCAAATATACTTTGAATCGGCGTCAAAACAGAAAAAAAAACTTTTTCATTAGTGACAAAAACGATTTGTCTCTATATCACTATTAAAGGTCATTTTTACAATCGTGCAATTCCATCTTTTTTATATTCCCCCCCCCTTCTGTTTCTTTTCATAATATGTTAATGAATGTTTTATGTTTATTGCCAGTTGGATTTTGGTCGATGAAGACTTATATTGGTGTGATGATCCTCGCCTTCTTGCTATTGCTCCTGCTGTGTATCGTTATCGTTGTCATAGTTAAAAAAAGATGGTAAGTACGGATAATCCATATGACTGTCATAGTTGCGACAGTAGCGATATCTATATACATGTATTATAAAAACTGTTTCCAAATTGTTAAAGCAACTTTAAAATATTTATTCTCTATGATGACATCCAATGCTAAGGAATAATGAAATTTCATTTAATAATGTACATTATCATAACAGAATACTAAAAAAGGCATTCAATTATTCAACCATTTTCTAATTATAGCAAGAAAAGGAAGAAGGTTCGTCCCAGAAGAAACGAAGAGAAAAGAAAAGTCATCCACATCAAGGAACGCGTGTCGATATATGAATAGATTAACTGTTTACGTTTCAAAACAAAAAACACATTATTTTTCAGTTGTGAAATGTCATATGATATAACTATATACATGCAATTGTTAATACTCCAATTTTGTTGGAAGAACAACAACGCATTTGTCATTTAAAGTTAACTCATGTCTGTTTAATTGATCAATAAGATTTGTAAATATTTAACAACATGAATATCGCTGAACGTGCCGGATGCCCTTCGTATCTGCACATTTGTAAAGGTTTTTCAATGCACATCGGTCAATAAATAACAGTAGTAAGAGCAAAAGGGTAAATTTTTTTTACATCAGTGGCAAGCAAGATTAACTTAGAGGACAACTAAAGGTTGATTAACTTAGAGGACAACTAAAGGTTTTGAATAAAGGCTTTCTTTGTACCCTGTCTTGTTTATGTTTGGAGTACGCCTGAGCTCTTTGCCACTGGTTCTTGTTGCTGGGCCGTTTGGGGTTGCGTTCATTGAACTTTCTTTCTTGAATTTTTTATCATATTTCAGTGCAAAAGTGAATTGTCTATATTTTCAGCTTCTTAACTTTGACATTGACCCAAGTAAGTGTTAAAGGACAAGACAATCCGATATAATTAATTACTTACCAAATAAAGAAAGACATCAGTCGATTTTTGAGTTTTCGAAGAAACTGAACAAGATGTTCCCCACTACACTAATCATTGCATAAAAGAGACCTAAAAGCCTCCGAGACATACTTGTTCGAGCCCGACTGAGATCAATAATGACAGACAACGATGGTCAGTCTGGACCATGTGGCATACCTAGATGACACACCTGTGCTGTCATGCACCTCAAAAATACATTCTCTTCAGAATTAGGGGCCTAAACTCTCTCAAGAACACTATGAACTTTAAAACAGCAAATATTATTTATATTTTGGCTTCCATTAAGTAAACAGACTTACACCGCTCTGACTGGAGAACACACACATTAAACAGATCTCCAGTCGCTGAACATTTTCACCTTGAGTGACATAGAAGTGTCCCTATGTTGCATTAAACACAACACAGAATGGTCAGATGTAACACGCACATCACGTGAGACATAATAATGGATTGGCCGTCTTAATACGTTTGAACCATCAGCAATCAATACAGGAGATTGACTTAGGAGACTATCATAAATCCTCGCCAATCTCTGAAAAATTGCTTTAAACCTTTATGACCCAGTTGCCTTCCTATGGTTTGACTAAAACAAAACTCGAGGGTTGCTGGTTCGTTTTTAATTTGTAGTAGACATTTATATATCATACACAGTCCATCAGATCACATGGTTTCAATCATATCAACACACATGTAGCATAACACACATATAGTATATCATAGCATAGCAGTATCATGTCAAAGCAACGAGTCCTGAAAATATACATATTAAGCATTCCTTATAATCATGAAAAATATGATACAAACACCTATATAATATCTTCAAATTTAACAAATCCATTATATCAAAAGATCAGTTCATATAAATATTCTAAGAATGTTAACTTTTCTAAATATATCATTCATACACAAAATACATATCTGAATACATTAATATCCTAGGCCGACAGAGTTGTCTTTCTTGGAAAATAACAATACACCTTTAGTAAAAAAAGGCGGCACCGGGGAGGGCACTCTTCCCGGTGCCTGGGAGATTTTCATTTATTATCATTTGTTTTCATTTCTACTTTATAAAACATCCTACTTGATGAAAATTACAATTTCTGACATTATACATTTAGTAACACAAAATGTCTATATACATACTTAAAAAAAAATCCTTTAAATTTGATATTATATCTTCATTACAATACATTGTCCGCGGGGCTATATAGGCTTTGTAAAGTATAACAACAATTACCATCCAATAACGGTCTTTTCTTAATCCATACAAATTTAATCACCTTTCCAGCGACTGTAGTGTGAAGTAAAATCCAAACATGTTTGTACACTATACACGATGTTTAATAATTTACACAAATACGTAAGACTGGACAGCAGTCTTAAAACTGTCCAGGTTGTCCACAGTTGTGATGTTAGCTGGTAGGCTGTTCCAATAAGGTACAGTTCTTGGAAAGAATGAATGTTTGTACGCATTAAGTCTGCAGTGATAAGTGACGAACTTTACCGAGTTTGTGTATTTTGTTGATAGTTGTGGATGGTATTCAACTGGTACAGCCACCAGGTTATTAAACAATTTATACATGAGAATTAAGTCCGCACACTGACGACGTTGTTCAAGTGTTGGCCATTTTAGTTCGTGTAGCATTGATGTTACGTAGATGGATGTAGATGTAGATGGATTATAACTGTTGCATGGCTTATTCATGACGAATCTTGCCGCGTTCCATTGTATTTGTTCGATTTTCTTTCATGTATTTAGTTGTTGAGGATTCCAAATTGGTGACGCATATTCCAGTTTAGGTCGAACCAAAGTTTGATAAGCTCTTTCTTTTACTGTGGTCGGACAGTGTTTTAAGTTCCGTTTGATAAATCCAAGAGTGCTAGAAGCTTTTGCTGTGATTGAATCAATGTGTAGGTTGTATTTCAGAGTATCTGCTAGTTCAACACCCAGATATGGATGGTTTTTAACAACATGTTGTGATTGATTTTTAGCTCGACTTTTCTATGAAAAGGGGAGCTATCCTACTCGCCCCGGCGTCGGCGTCGGCGTCGGCGTTAGCGTTGGTGTCACACCTTGGTTAAGTTTTTCGTACCACCCCACTTTATTTCAGAAGTATTACAAGTATGGCTTTGAAACTTACCATACTTGTTCACCATCATAACCTCCATCTAACAGACAAGAGTACATAACTCTGTCAAGGTTTTTGACAGAATTATGGCCCTTTTTTGACTTAGAAAGTGTATTGAGCTTGGTTAAGTTTTTTTGTACCACCTCACTTTATTTCAAAACCATTGGAGGTATTGCTTTGAAACTGACCATACTTGTTTACCATCACGACCTTCATCAACAGACAAGAGGACATAACTCTGTCAAGGTTTTTGACAGAATTATGCCCCTTTTTGACTTAGAAAATACATTGAATATGGGTAAAATCCACTTATTGCCTTAACCCTTTGAGATATTGCTTTGAAACTTTTAATGCTATTTCACATCATTACCCCCATCTGTACGCAAGAGAAGGTAACTCTGTCAAGGATTTGTTTTAAAAATTAAGGCCTTTTATCGACTTAGAATCTTGGTTAAGTTTTTAGTACCAGTCCACTTTTTGACTGAACTGTTTGAGATATTAATTTGAAAGTTGGAATACTTGTTTACCATCATGGTCCCAAAACATGGGCAGGAGAAGGTAATTCTGTTAAGGATTTTATTTGAATTATGGCCCTTTTTGACTTAGAAACTCAGTTAAGATTTTCATTCTTGTCCACTTGTTGACTTAACCATTTGAGATATTACTTTGGAAGTTGGAGTTCTTATGTGCCATCATGAGACCTATCTGTAAGCAAGAGAAGATAACTCTGTGAAAATGTTTCTTGATTTGTACTTAGAAATTCCTAGTTAAAGTCTTGTGTGCCCTTAACTGTCAAAGTTTTGTTTTATAGGCAAGCACTAAAAAAGTCGAGCGCGCTGTCCTTCTGACAGCTCTTGTTCATTTTGTAGTCAAACACAGATTTGTTACGTTTATTTGTTATTGACATGGTCGCACATTTATCGACGTTAAATTCAATTTGCCAGATATTACTCAAATCAACTAAAGTGTCCAGGTCTTTTTGTAAAATATTATGATCTTCACTGGTGAGTATGTGTCCATAAATTACACAACCGTCAGCAAATAGGCGAATTGATGACTTAATATCCGAAGCGATGTATAGTAAAATAAAATTGATTTATACTAAAAACAATGCAGGACCAAGCACTGTTCCCTGAGGCACGCCCGATGTTACCAGTGACGGTCTTGATGATTCTCCGTCTACTACCACTCGTTGATAACGACCGTTAAGGAATTCATTAATCCACAAATTGGTTTCATTACGTATACCATAATATTGCATTTTTACAGAGAGTCGCTGATGTGACACTTTATCGAAAGCCTTAGAAAAGTCAAGCACCGCCATATTAACCTGGTGACCAAGATTAACACTACGAGCAATGTCATCTGTAGTAAATAAAAGTTGAGATTCACACGAGCGTTTAGCCCTGAAACCATGTTGGTTTTCGTGAAGAATGTTCTGGCTGTCTAAATGGTTCATTACTTGCGAAACTATTATATGTTTAATCATTTTAGAAACAGCTGCGGTTAAACTTACAGGGCGGTAGTTCGATGGTTTGGTTCTGTCGCCTTTTTTGAAAATAAGTACAATGTTAGCGTTTTTCTAGTCCAATGGTACTTAAGATTTATCAATAGACTGTTGGAATAAAGACTGTATAATTGGTGCTATTTCAGGTACACATTCTTTCAGACAACGATAGGTATTTTATCTGGTCCAGAAGCTTTCTTGGGATTAAGTCTGTTAATACACTTAACAACACCATTTAATGTAACGTTTATCTTGGGCATCGAGCGGTATGGCGAAGTTCCTTTATTTAGTAGATTGTCCAAAGATTCTTTCGTAAATACTGAACAAAATTGGTTTTTAAGCATTTCTGCCTTATGACTAGCGGATTCGGCGATTTGACCGTTGTTTTTCAATGTTCCAATGTTCATGCTGTCTTGTTTACGAGACTTTATATATTTCCAAGATTTCGAAGATTTATCATTTTCTGGATCAAGAAGATATCTAATGTAATTGTAGTAGGAAGTATGTAGTTTATTCCTTACAGTTTTGCGAAGGTCACTAAATTTTTACAGTCACTTGCGCTATTACTTTTTCTTGCAATGTGATATAAGTAACGATTTTCTTAAAAAGCCGTTTGATATTCTTTTATAACCACGGTATGTCCGATTTCCCTTTTATAGTTTTCTTCGGTATGAAACGTTCCATGATTCTAATATCACTTGTTTAAAATTGTTCCAGTTTACATCTACTGTGTTGTTATGTATATTACGCAGAAACTCGTGTTGAAATAATAGCACACGATCTTTAATTTTCGGCCAGTCGGCTTTTCTATAATTAAACACGGTTCTCGGCGGTAGTTTGTTGAGAACCGGCTTTATGATTGTTGTTACGGATAAGCTATCATGGTCACTAAGCCCGATAGGTGGTCCGACTACGTGTCGTTGTATAAGTGTTGGATGGCTCGAAAAGAATAAGTCTAAAATCCTATCCTTACGTGTAGGGGTTGTGTTGATTTGTTCAATAAAACAAATTGAAGTTATATCGATTAATTTATCACAAAAAGTCTTATCCCTAGCGTTTGGCAATGTTCACCCGTTATTCCAGTCCACGTCTCCGATACTAGGATATTTATACTTTAGCACTGTATGAACGTTTATTTTCCCCAATGTTTTGTTATTTTGTCTACGTTTTTTTTTATAAATAACAAGCAAAAATTCTGGAAACAAAGTGATCCCTCTGAAGCATTAATCACAAATTACATTACATGAAAATTGCAGACTCGGTTTGATCGAGTCTGTACATGAGGGATAATGAAGAAGTGCAATATCCCCCACGCCCCTAGCACTGGCTTGAGCGGTACTCAATTATCAACACTTTATAGTGTTGGCATCAATAAACCCGATGGACCAGCAAAATATAATAACACTGAAGTGAAGTACGGGACAACTTTACAGTTGCCACACGGCACTTGACACCTGCTGTTGTGATGTATACAAATCTGGAAACAAAGTGATCCATCGGAAGCATTAATCACAACAAAATCACATGAAAATTATTGCAGGCAGTTTTGTTTGAGTTAAACATAAGGGATAATGAATAAGTGCAATATCATTCACGCCCCTAGCACCGGCTTAAGCGGTACTCAATTCTCAACACTAAATATGCTGGCATCAATGATCCCAAAGGTTCAGAAAAATACAACAACACTGAGGGGTAGAACGGGACAACTTTTACGGCATTTGACACCTGCTGTTGTGATGTATAAATAATCTGGAAACAAAGTGATCCCTCGGAAGGGAAGCATTAATCACAACAAAATTACATGAACATTGCAGACTCGTTTTGATTGAGTCTGTACATGAGGGATAATGAATAAGTGCAATATCAATCTTGCCCTCAGCACTTGCTTGAGCGGTACTCTTTTCTCAACACTTAATAGTGTTGGCCTCAATGATGCCGATGGACCACAAAAATATAATAACACTGAAGGGAAGTACGGGGCAATGTTTTACAGCTACACAGGACTTGACATCTACTGTTGTGAAGTATAAAAATCTGGAAATAAAGGGATCCCTCGGATGCCTTAATCACAACAAAACTGCAGACTGCTTTGGTTGAGTCTGAACATGAGGGATAATGAATAAGTGCAACGTCCCTCACGCCTCCCCTAGCACCGGCTTTAGCGGTACTCAATTCTCAACACTTAATAGTGCTGGCATCAATGATCCTGAAGGACCAGAAAAATATAATAACACTGAATTTTAGTATGGGACAAGACAGTTGTTCGTGAAAATGTGTTGTTTACTATTGCAAACAAAACCAAACTAACAACAATTTTTTTACTTATGTATCCTCAGTTCACTTGAATTATACATTTAAAAGATACAGTTGATCGTAATCTTGTTCATTGAAGAAGAAGCTTTATTCTTTCACAAATGTCACAATACACAATTGGCAGACATTATAGATCATAGTCACATTTTTTGGTATATAAACATATGAATAAGTATTGGCATTAGTCAAGAATAAATTTATCAATATAGTAAACCAAGTATATGTAAAAATAGTAAGATACAAAAATCTGAACCTACTCTTACAAGCTTTGAATACATTTTACTCGTACTTACTTCCCTTGCATTTCAAAATATCTAATAGTCTGTGACTAGAAAATCGAATAGTTGTATGCCTAAAAATGTGTCTGCACAGTGATTATCTGTTGTTTTTCATAAACGAATAATCTTTTATAACACTTTCTTAAATGATTATTAAAATAAATATAAAAATAGAAGCATGAACATTATTTTGCATCTTATTTATTTGTATTATTTGTATAAAACAATTCTTTATTGTCTCATTCAATGTAATGAGAAATATTTATACGCCATTTGTCGTCATATATGTGAATCGAAATCACGGCTGTAGTTAAAGCCGTGATGAAATCAACAATTAAATGTTGTTATACCACTAATGAAGTTTAACACATACTTTTTGGTTGCTTTTCTGACAGTGTGTAAGATTGAAAATATGAATATGTATCTATTTTTCTTTTTATGCGCCGCAATACAACCATGCACAGTCCATCGTTCAAAAGTTTAAAGATAAAATTACCATGAACTTGAACTATAAGAACGCATTGGCATAAATATTATCAGCAAATACTAATGAAAATGTTAATGTTATTTTAAATATTATCTTAAAAGTTACAGTCATTATAGAATGTAAAACAAACGAGTATGTAAAAATTATATCAATATCTTTTTATCTTAAATGCTTAATATACATATACAGATCAATTTCTAATGTTTTTAACATTTTCTGATGAAATAGTCGCAAAATTGTATCAACTTTATAAGCGTTTAAAATTAAAGCTTTAGTCACTTATCTAGATTTGAATACCATTTGATTATAACATTTTTGTTAACACCATGAAATTGAGATTGCTACTTTCATGAGAATAAAAATAATTTATTCATACGTTCATAACAAATAAAAAGATCGATTTTAACTTAATTTGATATATCATGCAAATATATATGAAATAATATGTCATCAGTAAACTCACAACGAAAGCATCTTCTTGCTGACAACCACTTTTTGTGGCCGTTTTCTTTTTCCTCATTTTGTTTTAATCTTTACTAAAATGTAACTGGGATGATGAGTAAATGGGTAGGTATAGCAACACATTTATTTGAAAGATTTCAATACGAGTTTACTTACTTCAAATAATTTAGGATCATAATTAATGGACATCTGATTGAATATTGATTGGATGGATTTTCATAAGCATAACCTGAAACATCTACTTCGGAAAATATTGAATATAAAAGTGGGTTAGATTTTGTTTGAATTAACCTCACGTGCTTCGCAATAAAACGATTAGAAAATGAGATACAATATAGATTTATTGACAGAATTAAAACACACTATCATGCCATGTCATAAATTGAAAAATAAAATCAACAAAATATATTTAAAGACATATTCTACTATACAAGATATTTAAATCAAATAAGGCTTTTAAAATCATGATGATATAATCATCATTATATTTGCAAGATAAAGAATAGTGAATTTTACTATGCTATACAGAAAACAAATATCACAATAAAAATGACTTTACAGGAGGTCAAAATGACAACAAATAGATAACCTTTAAGGACGGAATACATTAACTTATGTTTGTATTTCACTCAATTACATTCTTGTTAATATTACTGTAATGATTTATTGACTAGGTATTAAAATAACAATACATTTAAACATACTAGGTCAAAAGTCTGTTAATATGTACTTTTATAAGAATAATAAGCTTAAATTCAAGTTGAAAGTTTACCTGATTTCTTTTTAAAAACAATAACAACAACCAATATTTTGTTTCATTGGAGATACATGTACAATTTATACAATGGTAATGACCAAAATGTGATACAAAAATATTTATTGTATTTAAAATATACTCTAAATAAAGCTTGAGATTGTCATAAAGATTTTGTTAACGATTTTATTGTCTTGAAATTACTGATGCCAACTTACATCTATCAAATACACAGCTCTAGAGACGTTTCATATCTTTTGTTTCTAAGTAAATATTTAACAATATAATAATTATAATCAATAAAAAATGGGGAAAAATAAATTGAGGTGACGAATAAGTAAAAGTTTATTCTTTAAACAAGTTCTTTTCCCGTCACATTGTAGTCCTTTATTCAAAAATAGACACTCTTGCTCGACCACCTGTGGCTTGTTCATTTATTTGATTCAGCTGCGTTAGATCATCCGTTTCATTCTCGCTATAATGTTAAAAAATAAGTGGACAATTATTGTGTGTGTCAGGAAAAAAAAGTTCCATATCCGAGAAAAATGATGGTTACCAATACAAAAGCATTTACATTTCAAGTAGCTGAACAAATACGTCACATCATTTTAATGAGTACGATATGTGCCTTTAACTTTTGCCAAAATCATACAAAACAGTATTGAATATGACTTACTTTGATGCAATATTTTCTAATTCTAAAACTCTGACTCTATTGTGCTTTGCAGGCTTGTCGTTTTGAAATGGATTGAAATTTTCCTCAGACCTGAAAATTTATTTTATTTTATTTATTTGACAGTTTTTGGAGATTCTGAAATTGCTCGTCAACCAATTGTAGTCTATAGGTTTCAAATGTTAATTTTGTTTATCAGTACAAAGAAACGACAGTAGTATTTTTCTACACAAGTTAATCCGTAACCTGCTGGAACCAAAAGTTATTTACTTTTGGTGCCATGATAGTGCCATACTTGTGCCATACCAGCCTGAAGTCTGACCAGACCCTAAACTGTTGGTAGATTAAATGCTCTAATTCAATATTGAAATTCTTTAGTTCCATATTCAAAGCAATGGTCAGATCCATTAAAAGAATCAACAGATAAAGGGTCACAAGATGAAATATTATGAAGAAGGCTATTGACAAAATTGTAAGTGTTGCATCAGCATGTTTATGGAAGGTAATGGTAAATGCAAGTTACTGTCCAAGTAAACATTTGAAGTATATTTTACTAGAAATAATATGGAAGTATGAGCAATTCGCTGCTGTACCTTCTTTCTATACCTGTACAATTTACAATTAAACTTGACTCATGCAGTAAAGGCCACCTACGTCTATGCACTCGCCCCTTACCGTTTTGTGGTCGAATCCCCGTCAAGAATTTTGATTCTTTCATTTAAAAAACCTATCCAACTAGCTTACGGGAGGTCGGCGGTTCTACTCAGGTCCATCTCGCGTCTGAGGAGCTTATAACTACTTCCTCTTATATTATTAGTTCGAAATTCGCAATAAGACAGCACTGTCGTCTTGACTTTTATCCCAATTAAAAAATGTCTAGACAAGCGTTCTTGCATAATCAATGACATTTTAACACTCTTACCTATTTGTTGTAATAGATTCCATGGCTGAAATGCGTGCCATCCTTGACACGATTCGAACAACGTTTCTCTTAGGTTCACCCGGTGGATGGGTACTTAAAATAGTCGATATTTCAATGTAAGACAGTGCAATTATCATATGGTTATAGGCAGTGTCTATCTATAATAAAAGCTGTGTGTATATCTACATATAAAATGATTATTCAGTTTCCTGAAATATGTGACTTCCTATAAAACTATTTTATCATTTCAAATACATGTATACAAATGCAGTCCCAGCGCAATAATAATTTATTTATAAAACACAATGCGTATACACGAGATACATGCATACTGTGTGTTATTCTCAAACGTAGCAGTCCAGAGCGTTTCAATAATGAGATTGGTCTGTATAAATAATAGCCATTATCTTTGATTCTTTTGATTTGCTGAACCATTCATGTGTTGTGAACATTTTTATAGTACCCCACCCCAAATAAAAATGGTACGCTCTTTTAACGCTAACCATTTTTTGCATTATTAAATTATTAAACAAACGTTATAAAAAGAAAGTTACTTTTTCCCGTATGTGTTCTTTTCCCAGTCTGATTTTGCCGACGGATCAGATTCCATGTCTTCCTCTTGTTGATTTACGTGTCGGTCTTTACTGTAAATACACTAATTATTATACATTGCAGAAATCAAGGGAGGAAACAAATAAGGGGGACGTATAAATTAAGAATTACTTTTTAACAAACATACTTGAAATATTGAAAAGTGTGTAGGTGCTTACGAAATGATGACAAGAATTAAAAGGTTGAGCAAGAAAGGGAGGCAAGGGGGTAGGTAAAATTAGAAAAGAAAGGGAGGTAAAACGGAACGTTGTCAACAATATACGCATTACTAACGAAAAAAAACATTGGTATCTAACATTTATTTCTAATATCAGATTTAAAATCGTAATTTTGCAATTCATCAAGATTGTTTTAGCTATTTGTAAGATAAAGCAAAACATGTTACACTTTCTTGATATGAATTTTACAGAATATTCCTGAAAAATCTTATTTTGTAATGTCATAATCTTCATCTATTTTATACGTATATTATCTTTATATTATACTGATTTACAACATGTATAATACATGTAATTCAATAATATATAATATTGTCAGAATATTTTATTATTTTCATTCTGTGAAGATTCGCCTGTGAATAAAAGTACGTGGCGATTTTGACGGTCTCCATACGGCACAAACAACGAAACCACAAAACCACATAACTTACTAAATATCAGATCTCCGTAACTTCTACATGCATATTTTAAGGTTTCAACGTCTGTCCAAATAAACCTATTTAAGCCAACAAAATAAATCATCAGTTGAAGAGAGGGATCTGATAGAAAATCCTAATTTGGAAGCATAAAGAAACCTCCTTGAAAGTCAGAGAAGCTATTGATTTTGCGGTACAAAACGATAAACATATCTTTCGAATGTTCTTTAAGTGACAAATGAGATCATTTGTATTGTTATTTAAGCGTCGTATAATTGTTTTACATAAAAATCATGACTGCTCTCATTTATGGTCACCCGCTATATCTAGGAATTGTGACAATAACGCTAAAAATTGTGGTTTCAAAACTGCTAAAATATTTATGAATGTCAGATCCTAAATCATATCATTATTTAGGAGCTGTTTATGATCAGATTGCACATCCATATCGACTGATATTAACGATACCTATGCAGGTGTACGGTTTCGAACATTTGTTTGAACATTTTTGGCTCAACTGCATATTCAGACAATAACTTGTAATACCACACCTAACACTATAAAGCAAGATTAAGTTTGTTAAATGTGCGAATACAAGTTCACTTCAAGTTACATTATGCTTATCAAAAGGTATATAGTTAGTGAACAAGTGAAAGTCAAAATAACTTTTCATTATGACATAACTCATTGTTATTTTCCTTCGGATTCATATGAACGATAAACAACTCACACGGCCTATGGACATTTCTATAAATATCCATAGAAATTTACTAGTATCGTTCAATTAAAACAAGAAGTATCTTTAAAAAGAAACTCGGCCGAAGAAAATCTGCTTTACTTGCATAGTTATTTCGGAGATACCCGGCCAAAGTAAATCTACTTTACTTGCATAGTTATTTCGGAGACTCCCGGTCGAAGTAAATCTACGTTACTTGCATAGGTATTTCGGAGATACCCGGCCGAAGTAAATCTACTTTACTTGCATAGATATTTCGGAGTTTTGAGTACATGAAGGCAGTTTCCCAGTTCGATATCTGTGTTGAACTTTTTGATCATGTTGTATTTTAAAAACATAATTGATACACATTTGCATCATATAATACAACAGCGTAAATATTATTCTACATAATTACAACGTTGACAAAAACACAACAGATTTGAAGAAACATGTTATTAAAAAACGCTTTACTTACCACAGGTACCTACTCACAACAACGACAATAATCGAAACAATAGAAAATGCAAACGACCCCACTGCTAATGCAAATATGGCGGTTTTGGGTGGTGCAAATCCTGTTTTTCGGGTATTTTTGAAAGTAAAAATGTAAAAGTTAAATATGAATGAACGTATAATGAGTTCTGCAGATGTAAAAAATATAACTAATCTTGCAACTTGTTGTCTTATTACTCTCCGTATTTCTAAGTATCACACAAATTAATACATTGTATTTGAAAAATCTTTGAATAAAGTATACTAGAATTATGCAATAACACTTATTATATTTTCAGGCTGTGTTTTTTTATATTAAAAAAGGGCATTAAAGTGTTACCTTCATCTCTATTCTGGCATGAATCACCTTCTTTACCAGGAAGACAATTGCACTTGTAGGAACCTACAGTGTTCATGCATATACCGGAATAACTACAATGATTTGTTAGACATTCATCTATGTCGTCTGAACATGCTATCCCAGTATAGCCCGTTGGACACCCACAGGAATAAGATCCGTCCGTATTTGTACACACCTCAAAACTTTGGCATGGTGATGAAAGGCATTCGTCGATATCGATGCAGTTATCTACAGACCCGGTCCAGCCAGGCCGACATGCACAGATTTTACCCCTTCCGTGCTGAATGCAGACTTCGCTCGCCTTACAATCATTACTGAAGTAAATAAACGAGAATCTATCAAATCATTAAATCCCTTAGCTAAGGATGCCACACGAATAAAACATGAGAGCTGTGGACGAAAGTTTGTTGGCGAGAAGGTTTTTCATAGAACGATTTTTTTCAGTTTCATTTCGGCACTCATTTATTGAATCAGTGTACCTTTATTTCTACTTTAATAGAATTTTCAACTTACTTCAGAACACTTTAAAAGGTAATTTTTACTTCATGAACTTTTTGCAAAAAGTTACTAAAGACCGCTGCTAGACGGTGTTTCCTTATGCCAGCATGAACACAAGAAAAGCATTGATGCAAAGCATCAAAGGGCGTCCAAGCAAGAAATGCAGCAAGTGAAGATGAACTAGTACACATATGATGACAAGATATTCTTATAAACTACCAGAAATGTATACCACTTATGAATGAGCTGACGAAAGACATTGTTCATTATGAACTTTGATTGGCATGCTAGAGATTAGAATATTACTTGTTATTTCTTTATGATCGTGGTTATTAATAGCAACGGATATACATGTATGCAATCATTTATAATCCATATGTGTAACGCATGATCAACACGTACCACACATTTGTCCCTTATTATGTACATGTTATCGCTATTAGCGAAGACACTTCGTTTGATCCGGGTCGGACTAACTTTGAATCGGCATAACTTTTTTAATAATCAAGCAATTAACATGCGGTTTAAAGCACATGGAAGGGAATTCATTTACGGAGGGAACCGTGTCAGGGATTTTTGTTTGCTCAATCAGCGACTTAATTATCTTTCATTACGTAATATGTATGGTGAAAAAAGTCGCATAAAACGTTTGACGTTACGTAATTTTTTTTGAGAAAATATAGAAAAAATTTGAGACACGGTTCCCCAGATATTATAAGTATGTTTATTTTCCAAAAGTTTGATGACAAAAAAATAAAAAATGACTTTGATATGACGATTTAAAATTTTAGGATTTTTATTAAAAATCAATCATTTACAAAGGCATTTTTTTCAAATATGTTATTTTTTATGATAATCAACGACATTTAATGCACAAAGATAAAATAAATAACAATTATTACTGAAATAAGTTGGTTTAAATGACATTTATGTGAGTACCACGAAAAGTGTCTGTTGTCACCTTAAGGTATCTGTTCACACTTTAAGTTAGTAAAAATATGACACTGGTTATATTACCATGTTGATCATGTTGAGCATAATTGTTTATTATACAATAATTGTAATATCTATTAATTTTAATTTAAAAAAAATACAAATTTTATGAATATTGTTTTCTTTATTCTTTTTGTGTTTATGTGCTATTTTAATACTGAGTTTTTACTACTCTTTTTTATTAAAATTGTAAAATAAATTTTAGGAATTCAATTGTCATATTGACCGACGATTATAAGTCAAAGCTTAACTGGAAAAAGTCAGTAAATTATGGTTTATCTTTCAATCTATAATATTGTTTATTCTTAAACCATGTACATGTACATTGTATTTTTTCTTTATCATTTTTTAAATTATCGATCAATTGAATAATTCATGAAATCTAATTTGTAACTTTGAATAATTCCTCGGCATCTTTACTAAACACGGATAACAAATTGAATAATTAAATAAAATGTTTCAAAGTTGATAATGTCATTTTAATACCATAAAAAATGTACCTTTTTCTCAATTATTGTACATATCACGGATTTATATTACATATAAATCCGTGTACATATTTATGTTTTTATCTCATATAGATAAAATGAAACATGCTATTGTTGTTTTTTTCTAATTGTAACGATATCAAACATCTACTCCAAAACCGGGAGAGACCGGACAATATAACGTGTGGTACTATTCGCCGGTCACTAGTAAATCCTGGTCAAAATAGACCGGGAGAGACCGGCATTTACCGATAGGAGTGATAAAAAGATATATCTATAAATAGGTTTTTGGAATATTTAGGTCATCAACTGATCATTCTAGGATACATGTACAACAATAACATACCATGACATGATAACCGACTGTGTACTACAAAATGATAAATAAAAAACCCCGAAGAGCGCGATTTATTGACGGAAAAGGTTATTTCATTTGTAAATGTTTGCATTGCGAAAATTCATTGTAACATATCGCGACATTTCATTCTTATTTAATAATCAAGCACCCTCATACCGATCGGAATTTTCGGCATTTATTATGACCGACTAAAAGACTCGAGAAGTTGCTTTCGCCCTTTCTCAAAATCTGATCTCATTCCATAAGAGCGCCGCGCTTCGGCGCGGACGCCAATAACGACCTACACACGAGTATTAACGATTTTTTCTGTTACCTGTACTCGATAATCAGTTTGATATATACTCGATCTCAATTCACGATCCTTGCAAGGTGAAACGTTCCGATACATTTTAAATACTTTCTACATTTATAGCAGCATAAATATAATTTTTTCTTGTTAGGTGGTTCTTGTATTCCTTCTTAAATTTGTTAAAAACTCTTATGTATACAGATTTTTCCAAATAAGCTTTTGGATCTTTCAGCTTGCAGAAATTGCGACAACTTCTCTGCTTGCACGCTTGAATACACAATACTGACAGTCAACGTCTGAAGGAGCATCACTGGTGTTTAAATCCAAAAAATAAATAAATACGGAATCCCTTAAGAAAGCCCAACACGGCAATATTGAAAATGTTGCAGGTTCGGTTTGATTGAGCCTGTTCATGGACGGTACTGTAAAGTGCAAGTTACCGTCCACGCCCCTAGCACCGGCTTAAGCAGAATTCAACATTTAAACATGAAATAGTAAAATTTTGAATTTAGAAACATCCGCAGATGTGTTCATACGGCGGTTATCATGGAACCTTCAATGTGACACTTCCGTGCCATTCCATATAGTCATCAACTGGAGATTTCCGCAGCGAGATGAACGGCGTAACTTTCCTGAAGTGGGTCAGAGACAAAGTTCCATATTATAACCTTCAAACCGACAAGTGTCCTCCTGTAAAACCGAAATTCAGGACTGCTTACGTCGCCATGATATTGTTTTTCAAAATATTTCATGTTGAAGTCCCTGCTACTGCAGCTATGCAATTGTTATAAATCAGCGCCCGGTTATCAAACCGAGCCTGCAACATTTTCAATTTTGCCGTGTTGGGCTTTCTTTAGGGATTCTGTATTTATCAATTTTGTACTTAACAGCCTCTTGAAAGATCATGACCATAATGTTTTACGACTTCCAGCATATCTTCAGAGAACAATATCACCCATAATGGTTAATTTTCGGCAGAACAGTATTTTGCATGTTCAAAAAATAAAATAAAAATATATGGAACTAGACATCGCAGTTGTACAGATTTCAAGACATAGTACAGATTTCATAGAATTGCGCTTCTGTGACGAGGATATCGACAAGTGACGAGGATATCGACAAGTGACGAGGATATCGACAAGGCAGAGAGTGATGGGGAAGTTTTTACAGGCTCTGTATCATCGGAATAAAGTTGATATTCTGCCTTTTTAAATATTTCGAAATATTTTATCAAATTTTTGGACAATTTATGTTTTGAACTTTAATGATAAATTGTGTGAAATAAGTTTTCTCAAATATTTCAAAGTTGTTATTTTTTCAGAATATATTTAAAGGAACTTTTCCAAGCTCCCCATACAAGGCTAATTAGTTTCTGGATTTATGTACCCGTAGAATGTACATCAATGTTCGATGTATCATTTCAATATCAGTGGCTTAAAGTGTATTTCTGAACATGAATTCAGCACGGATCCAAATTATACATTAAATAAATGATTTTTTTATAAACTGGCGATTCAATATGTTGAAAAATGGAAAACAAAAGCGTGAAGTTTGCAGCCCAGCAGCCTGAAGTTGGCAGCCTTACAGCCTAGCAGCCTAAAGAAAACTTAAGTAGCACTTCTTTAGATCATTCCACGCCTTTTTCAAGAACGTGATCTTTATTTTTTAAGATGTTGAACTTTATCTTAATTTTAATTTCATTCTGACGCTTCGAAATTTGTGAAGTTTGCAGCCTTGTAACACCGCACTTTGGGGTCAAACGCACTTTGGGGTCCAACCCCAATGTGCGTTAAACTTCGCACCGCACTTTGGGGTCCAACGCACTTTGGGGTCAAAATCGAGAAATTGACCCCAAAGTGCGTTAATATGCTACATATCAACGCACTTTGGGTTCCAGAGGTATAACGGTGTCATCTAAGTTCTGCTTAAATACTGAGTACTGACTTATTTTCGATCTGAGACATTGAAATATTTAAGGTGGAGTTTAAGATGGCGGTCAATACTTTATGATGCTTTAGTGATAAAAGTTTCATTAATGTTACCACTTAAAATATCTAAAAATTGTGGTCATATAACAAAATTACGGTGGCATAAAAGTGACATTTGCATTTTTTTGTTTTTAGTTGTGTATGCATATTTTATTTTAGTTTTGCATACATATTTTTTACAGTTTTGCATACATATTTTTTTTTTAGTTTGCATTCATATTTTATTTTTGTTTTTCGTACATATTTTATTTTTGTTTTTCGTACATATTTTAGCCCATCAAAACAGCAGTGGTTTGGTCACATTTCGACCAATTTTTGGAATCGGCCCAGTCGTTTTCGGCCGGGCAAGTCTGGTTTCGGCCGACACTTTTCGGCCCATTTTTTTAAATATATGTATTTTATATAATTATTGTTGTTTTTTTATTATTATTATTATATACTATTATATTAGTGTCTATTTGGAAAGGGCTGTTGATTGGTGATCAGTTATTATTCCATGAATATGCACCACTCAACCCCATCCCCTGAGAATAGCGGGGAGGAATTGACTTTAAAACAAGCCGACCACTGGTAAAATCTTCCCCCTGCGGGGGATACTCGGATAATAACATTCCTGCCTTATGTCCCGGAACAGCGCAAACATCAAAACACGATTCTTTTTTAACCCGCACTCCCCGGGGGCCAGGTGTACCGGCTCAAGGTCGGGATCACACCTATAGGTCAAAGGATTAAGACTTGGGTTTCATGTCCGCTCCTTATCTCCTAAAACCAATGAAGGATTTTCATGCACCTTGTGTCATATGTTAACCACATCGAGACCATATGCAGAACCTTTCTTTGGGTTACCGCGGACTATATATATACATGTATACACTAAAAAGTGTTGTTATTTTTTTTATTTATTTTTTTTTTGTTTTGATAAATCCAAAAATGAAAATGTTGGTATTTGCAAATGGCATTTGCAAATGGGGTAATTTATAGATGGCGAAGTGTTTGAAAATGGTGTTTTACAAATGGCGTAATTATCCAAACCTCTACTTAGCAAATGATCATGTACAAATATGTACAAAAAAAAAAAAATAAAATATGTACAAAAAACTAAAATAAAATATGCATGCAAAACTAAAATTAAATATGTATGCAAAACTTAAAAAAGTATGTATTCAAAAGTAAAAAAAATATGTACGACAAACAAAAAACAAAACAAAAAATATGTACGGAAAAAAAACAATAAAAAAGTATAAAAAAGAATTGCAAATGTCACTTTTATGCCACCGTTCAAAATACTCTAGTACAGAAATTGTGTATTCCTAAAATTAAAAGATGCTTCGAAAAATATCCCGTTCTATCAGTCATTTACTTGATAACTTTTGATAATATTGAGCCCCATTTTAAATATGTTGGGAATGAAATAAAATGCAGTTAATATTTTTTTTCCGAATAACTATAAATATACTCTATTGCTATGTTCTGGTGAAACATCAATTAAGTTTTTCGATCGGACTATAAATAGTGATTTTTACAAATACATTATTAAGCTTATCAACAAACTTAAGGGTTTTTATAAGCTCCGTAACAACCTTTCGCCAGAGACTTTTTTAATGGGAAATGCAACATACTTCTTTTGAAAGAGCAAACATGAATTTTATAATTTTAAAAAAATGGTTACCTCAATGAAGTAGCGATAAATGTGAAATTATTCGTCATAAAAGTAGTCAAAACAATGTAGTATTTGACTTCGATATAAAATACTAATTCACTATAGCATGAAAAAGATGGTTCAGGTAATTGGCCAATGTGTATTTTTTTGGATAATATAGAAGAACATCAAAATAAAAAAGCTTTTAAGAAAAACGAATAAAAGCATAATAGTCCTTTAAAACGTTTTTTTAACCATCGGGGAATCGATACCCCACAATCTCCTTTATACCCCCATTGAGAATTTTAAATTATTCTGAAGTTCCGCTCTACATGTGCGACTACTTCATTAGTTGATATTTTAAGTACTGCCGGAACGGCTATTCAAGTTTCCTATGTGTCACATTTAGCTAAATAAATGGCTATTTTAAGATATTATCAGGCACATTTTTTACTGAAATGTCTTACTAAGATTACCCAGAATTTATACCTTTGTCTATGCTAAGACTATCATTTTTCTATAAAATGTGTAAATAAAAAACGGGAAAATTATGCATTTAGCTAAAAACAATGGAGTTAATGAAAGGTGTACATTCTTTGAAAATAAAAAGAAAATTTAAGAAAAAATGTTTTAAGCTTATCAATTGATGCAAATACTTTATTTGGTGATTTATTTGGTGAAAGTTCTCCACTTACTAATCAAATACATTTAAATCCCTATTGATTCTACTATAATTCAGGGAACATGTTTTGGGTCTATTTAATGACTTGATTTTCGTTTACCATTGGCTTTGGCTACAATATATTATTTAAAACATAATGAACATTAATTTTCTCTGACCCCAAAGTGCGGTCGTTTGCCTGATGTTAACAAATGCATATGTACCTGTTTAACGCACTTTGGGGTCAAAATTGGGCCCCAAAGTGCGTAACGCACTCTGGGGTCGGACCCCAAGGTACGTAACGCACTTTGGGGTTGGACCCCTAAAGTGCGTTTGACCCCAAAGTGCGGTGCTACACAGCCTAGCAAGATGGTTCAAACATGAAAACCGTCGGTTTTTACTTTCGCGATCTTTACTTTTTTAAATATTGAACTTTCTTTTTTTTGGCACTTCGAAATTTGTGAAGTTAGTAGCCTATCAGCCTTAATTTATAAAGCGTTCAGTTAGGTGCACACTTCATTTGTAAAGCGGCTAAGTATGCGAAGGTTATTCATGGGTTTGTTACGTACCGGCTCGCCAAATATGACTTTTCAAGCTGTGTACAAGTCCAAATATATTCCCGTATTGTACAGTATAATGTAGAATAACCTATAAATATTTTTATTGTACAATACAAGATTCAGTACTCACAAATTATGAAATTTTTACTTAAACATTTAGGAGAAATAGTTGTATTCTTTTATTGATTGCATTCAGTGGTAAAAGATCAGTATTGAAATTCCAAATATTGCTTTTATAAGAAATTAATAGCCATACTCTGTTATACATTTGTCTGAGCACCACTCCCCTTTCCAACCCGGCATGCACTTCCGAAAATTTATATCAGGGTTCGTTTGCAACTCGCAATGTTGTCGAGGACCGTTTTTCCAACCTTCCAAACAGGTACAACTACCAAAAGAACACACTTTCTGACAATTGTTAAATAAATTAATACATACATAGTAAGCGAATAGAAATAAACAATAGAGAAATTTAATGCATATGAAAAGTATATGTATAACCAGATTTATTTAGAATTCAACTATTGGTGCCATAAAGATCGTGAATAGAAATCCCTCGAGAGAATTAAAAGACTAAATAAAATGTAGGCCCAAAACCTTTTGGTACAATTAACGTTACACATACCTATAGCTGCCAAAGGAATTATGACACTGACCTCGATGGAGGCAAGGATAATGACCATTACTACATTCATCAAGATCTTCTTTACATTCTACACCCTAAATATATCGAATATATAAATCACCTACATATCTTTTGATAAAACTTTAATCACGACTATAATTGTAAAGTAGAAAATAATTATTCTAAAAAAAAATAAGAATATGCACACGAAAGATAAACTTGGCCTTTGCAATGAGATTTGAACGGTAATTGAATTCAACGCATTAAAATTTAAGCAGTTGTAAATTGCCTTTCATAATTATGTGATAATACTAAGTCATATATTTTACATACGGAAATACAATATCTTCCTATTAAGAATGTATCTCTTTTAAGGGTTCGTCGTGATGACATAATGCTTTTATGTTCAACCTACAGTCTTACACAGGAACTTGAAATTCTATCACTATTAACGATAATATGCAAAATATACCCCCTATATACTATAAAAAAATTCAAGGAATGAAACGCCTTTTCCCCACCCGAACATAATTTACGCCGAACAAATCAACAAAACAAAAGATCAAAATAATCTATCTGGCCATTCCGATAAACATTACATAAATGCATCAAATACCACTGATAACTTTTTTTTAATTTCGTAGCTATGTAGGAATAATTCAACATTTTCTGATTATTTCCCACGATCTGAGTTTTTGTCGCCGACTCCATTTCGTGACGTTTCACTGGATGTTGATTCGAGGAGAATAATATTATTTAAATTATTTTTAACAAGTTCCAAAAATAACAGGTTTGCAAGTAAAATACTGTCAAACTAGAACAAATGACTGATTTATTTCTTACGACAGGGCTGAATTTATTTGCTGGGCCATATCAAATAGAGTACTCAATTTTTTTTTAAAACGACAGTACTTTTCAAAGATTTACCGTTCATGTTTGGGGTTTCCCTTTCAAATGTTTTTATAAAAGTAATTTGTTAAAAAGGGTTTACATGAAGATGTTTAAATCTATTTACATAGAATAATTTGTATAAAAGTTTTATACATACCTGTTATTTTTTGGAACTTATTAAAAATAATTTTAATAAATATTATTCTCCTCGATTCAAAATCCGGTGACGTCACGGAATGGAGTCAGCGACAAACTCAGATCGCGGGAAATAATCAGAAAATGTTGAATTATTCCTACACAGCTACGCGATTTTAAAAAGTTATCGGTGGTATTTGATGCATTTATGTATTGTTTATCGAAATGGCCAGATAGAATATTTTGATCTGTTGTTTTGTTGATTTGTTCGGCGTAAATTATGTTCGGGTGGGGAAAAGGCGTTTCATTCCTTGTGTTTTTTTATAGTATATAGGGGGTATATTTGTATATTATAATTAATATTGGTTATTTGATAGAATTTCAAGTTCCTGTGGTCTTACTATTTACAGGAATGTACGATATCAAGAAAAATGAATAAGAGTGATTTAAATCAACGAATTTAACACATTAAAAAAGCAATAGAAAGACTAAATATTTCTGCAATTTCATAAAATATATAACTTAAAACCAAAGTAATGAATCAAACAAAATTAGAAAAAAATAGTATTTTTCAAAAAAAAAAATGATTATATGAAAAATAGTCGCGTTTTGCTGTTATAAGAGTCTAACACATTTCGTATTTGTAATTGTCGTGCAGTCGTTTAACATAAATAGAAACGTACAATGTATCCATGACTACATTGACACCCATTTCCACTTGGTTTGCACATACTCCTGAAATGACATACTACATTTCCACATAATGTGGTGCCGTTATCGTCTGTGGCTTCACAAACAAATATAACCTGAAATAAAACAACGATCAATAAAGTGTTTGATACCAGAGTAAAACGTGCGAGCTAAAACGCCAGATGAAATAAGTAGCATGAGTGTATTCAATCGACCGGAAATATAACATTTGCTTAATATGACAATCTGTATTCGCTTTTTTAATTTTCAATTTTTAACGAAACGAGTATGTCGCTTAACGTTGTAGTATAAAAATACATGTAACTATAACTATACAGTTGCTGAATTCATTTCAATCATGGGATCGAAATTGGCTAACGTAGGAGCTGGTCGTGTAGTACATTAACACGTAAAAAGTAGAAGCTTTTTTTTACCAACCCCTTTGTCAATAAGATATATTTGTTGTTATGAAATATAGTTTTGAAAAAGAAGAGCATGAAAAGCATGTCAATAAAATTAGATAACAGTAATGAACGATGCCCAGTAGACCTTTTTGCAATACGGTTATCCCACAGCAACGCCGTTGTTATTAAGCGCATTCCTATTCTCCGTTGGGCAAAAACTAAATCGAAATGATATTAAAAAGAAAACATTTCATTAGAATAATTAGAATTAAACAATTTTATCAGCATTCTGTGGTAAGAAATACATGTTTTATCTTGGGGAAAAGGTGATGCAATAGTGAGACGAATTAACTACTTTAAAATTCCTGCACAGCTTTATCTATGGCAAATTGCAATTTATCTAATTTCTGCGTGAGAACTATAATCTGAATTCATATCTAGTAAAGCATTAAATGAAACAGTTTAACCCATTGATACGCGCTTGAAATACGTATCGCACACAGAACGGGTGAGTAAAAGTGATAACAAAACAAATATTCTTTACGGGATTTTATGAAAGATTCCCGAAAACTAATCAGTTCGAGGTCAATATTACCAAACAAAATCGAGAAAAATACAGTTCTATAAGGTAAACATAATGATAATAAAGTATATACATGTATATATAGGCCAATAAATCGTCTTATTTAGCGTGAACTTAGCCAGGTACCATAGACACACTTAACACACAGTTTGCCTCATTGAAATAGATAACGTTTGTGTGTTATTTATACTTGTTTAATAGTATAATAATGGGGTAATGACATAATGGGTAATAAATGAACGCAAAAAATGTATGAAAAGTTTATATTGACAAAAATACATGGATGTATGTAAACAAGATATTAGGCGGTGAATTATGATAAACGTTACAAGGAATAAAGTATAATTCTTACTTCATAAGTTTTTGTTTTTAAATTATCTAAGACGTCACTTTTGTCGATTTCATCAAAGTAGTTTCTCACGTTATGATAGAACATTTAAGGAGGACATAAAACGATATTATCTCATTTTTCTGATAATTATGTTTTATGAATGAAATAACCCGAAAGGTACTGCCTTGGTGTAAAATCATGCTGTGTTACTGTTAAATTATTGTGTTGTCCAAATAAATATCTGAAAAAGGAGAAATCCGACGAAAGCAATGAATTCAATATTTTATAAAAATTGCAGATTCAGTTAAGATGGAATTTGTGTATGGGAGACGAAGGTAAATTGCAGCCTTTTCACGAACACTAGCACAGGCTTAAAATGAATTCAATCCTTAACAATAACGTGATGGAAGTCATACTCAATGATTGATGTGATGTAATGCATGCTACCATTGGCTTCTTTTACAATTTTAGTTATTGTACCCTTGATTAAGTTCTCTATGAAAATATCAGTTTACAATCAGTATTCTCTTCGATAGCAGAAACATTAAATACAAAAAATAAAATGTTGCCATATTCGTGATAAGAAAAATTATCAGATACCACTGTCAAAGTGCTCTGTTAATTATTCTAGTATCTTAATTTCATCTCAATGTATTTAACAAAAATCATAGGATACAATACTTTTTATAATTTATTTCACACGCATCTCATGATCTCCCTAAAATTGTTTTGAATAAATCCATCCTTTAATTATGTAAAAAAATGATTCGTAAAGATAAGAAATAATCATGTTAAAATGAGTTTACCTTGTATAATATCAGTAATGTTAAGTTAAAAATTAACAACATATTTATACTCCTTTGATGATCATATGAAACTGCAATCTATGCACGCATCTCCACTAACGTCATGTTGTTTTTCCGCCAAACTTTATCTCTATCTGACAGACATGACATAATACCCGCTATGGGTATTTGTAAGTATCGTATCGGTAACCTTCATCGATATAATGTTTAACAAATTAATAGCTTAGTTTAATCGCTGATTTGACCCCCCTGTTAACACAACATAGGACAATTTATCAACTCCATAGAAATAATTAAGTGCTATAAGTATTATTTCAGTATCTTCTTTTTCACATAAACCAGGACTTAAGGTCAACCTTAATTTCAGCGATAATATTATCTTTATTCACGTATCATTGGTACCTGTCCATTTTATATGGCCGTTTAACAGAAAACACGTCGTAATACTTCGGCTCCATGATAACCGCCATATGAACACATCTGGGGATGTTTCTAAATTCAAAAGTTTGCCAATTCATGTTTAAATGTTGAAATCTGCTTAAGCCGGTGCTGGGGGACGTGGACGGTAGTTTGCATTTGAAGCACAGTCCATGAACAGGCTAAAAAAACCGAGCCTGCAACAGTTTCAATTTTGAACTATCATAATGGATTCCTATTTTCTCTATTTTAAAGTGTTTTGTCCATATTCGTTGGAGAAAAATCAAATTGTTCTTATATTAGAAGAGCAAAAGGAGACACATATCAACACATGCCAATTGGTATTATCCCTGTCATGGTTGACGAAAATATGTAACGTGACATGGACCCGATTATGGGGCTATCGAAACTTCTCGCTCTGTGTTGCTTGGTCGTATGGGGGTTGTGTGCATTGAACGCCCTCGTTTATCATATTTTCACACGTGAGTTGTCAGGTTGCTTACACATTCTTCCTCTTATAAAATGAACAGTTTTGTTTAAAACAGGTTTGTCATCGTGAAGTGATCGGTTCTTGTGAGAACATGAGACTCCTGAGAGATTCTATGAGGAATATTGGTGTCATCTGTATATATTTTCAGTGATAATTTGATTCAGTGTATGTCACATTAAAATGCTAAAAGATTAATGTATTATAGGGCAACACCAAAGTGAAGGTTAACCAGGCATCTCTTTTTTCTTTCTTCTTAAAATCACGCAATTCAGATGAAAGTATTTTCAGCAATAATCCTGCTTCATGTAATTGTCGACATTATATCTCTAAATAAGCTTCAAGTAAGTAGAACAATCATAACATTGTGATAATATTTCACTTTTTCCTAAATCCACTGTTTGTTTTAAAGATAAGAACGATTGATCGAGATTAATCATATCTGTATTTCTTTATTTGTTTAAACATTAGACTAATATGCTTATTCATCTAACCAACTGTAAAATAGAACGCCCCTGTAACAACAGAGCTATCTCTTTCAATGGTAAACGCTTATTTGCCCTGTCGCTTCTACCGAGCTTGTGTATGGTGCCGCATTTATGTACCAATAAATGATAAATGATGTCTTATTACATATTTTGCATCAAGTATCGAAACTAGAAGAATGCTATGCTAAGTACTTGATCAAAGTTTCCAGGAAACGTAAAGTTGATGAAGTCTTACTTGAACTGTAGCTGTGGCGGTATTTCCAATTTAGCGTTGAAATGGACTGTTCCAGTGTGAAAAATAATACTATTACCTCATACTGTCATACATTATATGTAGAAGTTACGTCTAGAATGCAATAAAATTCTAAACAGAGCCAAAAATTAGTTTTAAAAGTTAATGATATTTAATCTGTGAGACAATTCTGTCGTTAAGGAGGTAGTCATGTCGCTTATGAGAGCTATATAGGTTATTTACAGAAGTATCCTATGTGGCGGTTTAACCGTGCAAAGTATCCTATGTGACTGTTTAAACACACGAGCGTACTATCTCTTTAGACCTACGTACACATACTGTGTTTTGTTTGTGTATTTTTTTAAATTTAATATGAAATTTCATCCTGTATATTTAGGTGTAAGAGTTTTAATCCTTCTGTTAGCAAAAACAGTATTAAAATCACCTGTATGTCCTTGTTTATCACATATATACCGATCGTCTGACTTATGATGACGTTAGTATTTATTCTATTCAGCATATGTTCCCATCAATTGTTGGCTTTATTTAGTAATAAGAGATGAAAAATATATACGTATTTTGATTAAAATCTTGCTTTTGAATACGATTTATATTTTAATTGTGTTCTACTCCAAGCATCTACTTAAAATATATTCATTGCTAATTTGGATTGTTGTTTAGATAAAAAAAATAGGCAAAGACAATTTGTTACACGATGAAACAGTCCATTTTTAAGCTAAATTCGCTAACTGGAAAACGTCGCCGCTATAGCAGTTATAACATTAATCCATCAACTTTATATTTCCTTGAAACTTTATGATATAATATATTTTTTGATTTTTTTGTCCGATTGAGATTTAAAAAAAATATTAAATAATAATAACAAGACAAAAATATATGTTTGTTGATACTTGCACAAGCTCGAATTAGGTAGCTATGTTGTTTATTTGTATACCTCTGAGAACACCATAATTAGTTCCCGATCCCACATTTACACATATCTCTCTATTTTGACTGCATCAAATGATGGTTCAAATGATGAAAAAATAAAGATATCACTTAAATCATTTGGGATATTATCTGCTTTTATAAGCTTTATTTAATTATTATTCTGGAACCATGTTGTTTCAAATTAAATAACATTATTATCTTGCTTCTTTGGCGTCTTAATATGTAAATATTTAAGTACAAAAAGGTATTGATTTGACAAATGTACTTAGACACGTTTAAAATAAATTGTCGGTGCACTTACATAGATACAGATAACGCTTTGAATACCTGATCCAGGGGATAATCCGTTAAGTCGGATAAATAAAGATTAGTGACAGCGACAATATTGTGAGATAGTTAAGTATAACCTTTGCTGAACTTTCTTTATAGATTCCTAATGAACAGAAATAAGTTTGGGAAAATAAGCCTGATCAAAAGACAGATCGTGATGAGAGGCATACAATATTACAGAAACGATCAACACAATATGATTATATATTGGCATGCCCTTCTGTCGAAGGCGAGGACAAATTCCGATGATATCTACATATTGTACTGTTACAGACCCCTCTATAGTTCCTCAGATTTTACTTTGATATTTGATCAATTTCTCGGAGAACGAAGGCAATGAAAGGAATTAAACTACAAACAGTTCATTCTTATTGTGTCATTCACAAGATATTACGTTTAAATTACAAATAATAAATGAAACACCTGCTCACTGCCATTAAACGTTTTCTTTATATATATATATATATATATATATATATATATATATATATATATATATATATATATATATATATATATATATATATATATATATATTATATATATATATATATATATATATATATTGCATACAAAAATCACAAGTAATGGGCCAGTGTTATGTATGATTCGAGGTAATTTTAAAACAAAAGGAAACCAAAGCGGGAAAATGCTAATGCTAAAAGCTTGATTTGAATAAAAAATCTGGTAAAAGGGTGTTCATAGCTGGCAGTGGTAAATGAAACTAATCATCCACGCTCACTAGCAACGGCTCCGGACTCTATATATGATTTTAATTTAAGAGAATGGAACATTCAATGTGACATTTTCGTATCATTCCCAACCATCACAAGCGGCGTATTGTTCCCATGTAAAAAAATTCATGTGTTCCAAACGAGAAACCATTTGGCAGAAGAACTAAATAAAAACGAGATATGAAGCCTATGTATCACCGACAACTACCAAAATAAATTTAAAATATTAGTAACTATGCAAAGGCTCAATATTGGAACCATTCAACAAGAAAAAAATATCTTAAATTGATGGAACTTACATTGATTTGATTGAGTATTTTCAAAGGCGTAGTCGTAACAGCAAATCTACCATCCACGCCCTTGGCACCGACCTAAGCGTTCTGTGAACGCCGCCGCGCTTTTTTATTTTAATTTAATTAAGCAGAATTTAACATATATATTTTTAAATATCTACCGAACTATATTAATAATAAAATTCATTCACCAAGGTTTCTATTTTGTATTGTGAAAAGATGAATTTTCATTGTATCAAGTAATAAAAATAAACCAAATATAGTTTACCCTGCTGTCTAACTCTATGTTAGGTTGCTAACATGATTACTTTTAAATCACTGTTTATATAAACAATAAAGTCACGAAATTGAAATACATTATACAGACTGTTAAACTGTTAAGGATAGCTGTATCGGTAAATTGTAGGCACTTCAATCTGGATTAACTAACATTGATCCGCAATAATGACAGCCATAAGTGAGATATTGTCAGGCGATATATAGATTTTTACAAAATAATTATGATTTTATTACGACATTTTGTCACATCAAACAAAAATAAAACATTAAGTTACTGAAATACTCCATTAGTTTTTAAAGGGTATAAAGCTAAAACTCTATACTGCTTGTTGATTAGAAATATTTTTTGTTGTTTCGATAAAGCACAATACGAAAATAATTATTTGTATATTTCCTTACTTTCAAATGATCCGGCTAAAAATATTATTTTCAAACCAAGTTATACTGAAAAATTGTTAACAAACCAAAGGAAATTAAGCCTTTAGGCCTTTGTTTAAAAGATGAATTAGATAAACATAAAATTAATCCAGACAGTATCCTTCAAAATGACGATGAAGATATTCCACCTTGGACTTCTTATTCCCTAGAAATAAATATTAACCTTTCAAATATAAAAAAGTCATCAAATTAACCTGACCAGTTCAAAGAGATGTTCCTAGCAATTAAGAAAGAACATGAAGACTTTATACATATTTATACGGACGGTTCAAAAGAAAGTTGCAATGCAGGCGCGGCTGTGTTTGAAAATAATTTAATATCTAGAATGAGGTTACCAGATAATGCTGTTGTGAAGTACAAAATACTTAAAACAATGTGATCCCTCGGAAGCATTAATCACAACAGAATTGCAGACTCGGTTTGATTGAGCTTGTACATGAGAGATAATGAATAAGTACAACATCCCTCACGCCCCCAAACACCGGCTTGAGCGGTACTCAATTCTCAACACTTAATAGTGCTGGCATCAATGATTCCGAAGGATCAGAAAATACACTGTGTAAAGGTCAGAAAAAAGACCTTATCATAAACGTAATGTCTTGAGTACTGTCTTGCATGCGTTTTTAGTTAGGTATTATCTCGACATTCTTCCTTTCAATGAGATAAAAGGGGCGTCCCTGCCCGAGTTGTTAAGGTCGTTGACTTCTTCAAACCACTTGCCCCTCACCGCTGTGGGTTCGAGTCTCGACATGGAATTTGGATTCTTTCATGTGAGGAAGCTATCCAGCTAGCTTACGGAACGACGGTGGTTCTATTCAGGTGCCCGTTCGTGCAAGAAATAATGCACGGAAGGGCACCTGAGGTCTTCCTCCACCAGTAAAGCTGGATCGTCGCGATATGACCTATACTGTGTCGATGTGACGTAAAACCCAAAACAAACAAACAAAACAAATGAGATAAAAATCATAATTTTTGTAAACTGTGTTAGTTCCCCGTAAAACCAAACATACAAAAAATCGATTTTGAGACATCTTTTTGTACAGTAAATCAAACAATTTTTCATAGCTTACACTGTCCTAGGATGATAATTTGAGCCATTCTTTACATAACAAAGACCAATAACAATGTGAAAAATAGGTTAGGCAGATCAATGCCACAACCTATAAAATGAAAATAAAACTACATGTTATCATATGTCTTGTTAGCACGATAGGTAGAGCAAACGTGTCAGTAATGTGTTTTACCCGTACAGGCAGAAGTTCGATTACTGGTAAGACCTTTTTTTACCTCAGAACTTTTCAGAAAACAAGTTTGACCGGTTTTTTCATATATATACATGAGTATGAGATCGAATATTTTATTACAATGCGTTCAAAAAATACAAAAAAGGAAATAGAACAGAAATAAAAAATAAATATATACTATAAAATATATATTATAATAAGAAAACAAAAAGGGAAGTGAAATATAAATCAATAAATAATGATAAAAAACAGAGCAAGAAGAAAAAACTGTGGTTATAAAATGGCACTACGTAGGGTTCGAACCTATGAGTACAAAACACTTAAAGTTACAATAATTTCGGCCATAACTGTCATATACCAACGATACTGTAAGAATAATGCTATATAGTATATGTAAGTGTTTACATAATAATCCAGATAATCCCGTTTTTGGACTTTCCCATGCAACGTTAAGACCAAATTATCATCCTAGGACAGTAGCTGTCTGTGTAGGAGACATTTTGCAGTAATTTGTTAAATTTTCAAAACAAAACATTACATTCCACTTGGCTACATTTGATAGCAGAACGCTGTAGTTGTCAATGATTGTGATACATAGTAGCATTTGTCCAAGTGAGGAGAAGGACATCGAAATCATACATTGTGATATAGAGTAAATATATGTTTTTGCTCGGTTTGATTGAGCAAGGTTATGGACAGTACTGACATGTGCAAATTACCGTCCACGCCTGCTGTTTTTACTAAAATCATTAAACGTTTTATTAAAAGAGGTTATGATCCTACTATTTTAAGACATACTGCATGTTTAGTGTTCAACCCTTTTACAGATGGACACCACGCTTTCCTCTTTTGATTACATCTGACGGACCAAGTGGGAGTCTCTATGCTGGACAGTTCTTAAAGCTCTTTGGGACTAAATTGTCTTAATGTTCGTCTTTTGCCTTGCTTCGTCGGGCCCTTGTAGGTGATTTTCTTGTTGCTCTTTCTTTCTTTAGGACATATGTTTCCACATGATCATTTTGGTGTTTTACTTATTTAACCTTTTGTAACAATGACAACTGTTAGAATTTCATTTGGCGGGGATTTATTTTATTTACACTGTCTCGTTTATAGGAACATGGTGGGGCTAAGAGCGAGGTTCGGTGCACCATTAACCGGTTTAAACTCCCTAACAGTCATTATTATGCTGCTAATCGTTTCAAGGCGACGCCCCTCTGTGTTCGTCAGATGTATGTCTATGTTGTTTCATACTGTTTTGGTGACATTTTTGCTTGTGTCCCTAATTGTCTTCCCCCTTTGTCCCTAGTTTTTATTTCTTTGATTACCCCCCCCCCTTCCCCGGTCTCCTTCCCCGGTCTCCTGTCCCCTTCCCCTTTTGACTTTGACTTTGTGGGCCTATTATTCAATCATTTATTTGGTTTCTTTGTATTCCTGGTCGGTTTCAATTTATTTTTCATTTAGTGATTGGCCTGTCCGGGCTCTGTCTTGTTCCCTGTCCTGTTTTTGTTTGGGGTCCGTCTGGGCTCCTTGCCACTGGTTCTTGTTGCTATGTTGTATTGGGGTTGCGTTTTTTGAACGCCGCCTTTCCTTGTTGATCCTGTTTATCATATTTTAAGCAGAATTCAACATTTAACATAAACTTGTATAATTTTTATTTTTAAACATCCGCAGATGTGTTCACATGACGGTTATCATGGAACT